TTGGATGCAGGAGTTTGCCTTGCAACCAAAGCATTGTTGGTTCAAGCTCAAATGTTGTTTTGTCCTTCAAGTCTTTTGACTTGGAAAGGCCCTATATAAGTACAGGGCTTTTAGCATTTACCATTCAGTACACAAAAACGAAGAATCAAGTATTTATGTTGATTAAAAATGCTAACTATTGGTTATGGGGAGATTCCTTTAAGCATGTAATTCTTAAAATCTTGGATGATTCTTAAAAATATATAGTTTATCTTATATATTCATGGGGATTCAGATGGTGAAACTGTTCCTCCTTTTAAACAGATCTCCACCCAGTTTTCATGAAAAAGAGAAAATGAGGTGAATAGAAAGGTGCTGAGTAAAGCGACACTACACCTGAAACCCCACATCCTTCATCACCACCGCCCCACTCAGACCAGTTCCGCATTTAATTTAATAAAAAACTTCCCATTATCATCCAGTATATGTGCAGTTTCTGCCCAAATATTTTCTTTTTGTTGTGGATTTTTGTAATAGCGATAACTAGGATTAAATAAAATTAGTTTGTATGATGTTGTTTGTTTTCTACTTCAGGATTTAAAATCAGCATCTCTTCATCGATGCCTGTGATAAGAAGTTTGTTTTGAAGTTGTCAGACGTGTTTTCGGAAGTTGTTGTGACAGGATTTGATTAAACTTTGAAGCCGCTCAGTATAAAATATATATTTTGATTGAGATGAGAAATCTGCTCCCTGGTATGTTGAAGTACCAATAGTTTGCATCCAATCATTTAATTAAACAGTCTTAGTTTTTGGGAATATATGAGAATTATGCTATAATTTGTAGTTGCCAATCTGTTGCTACTGTATTTTAATTTGACAAACTGGATCTTCTCGCCGTTATATTCGTGATTGCAATTGTGGATCCTGACCTGGTCAGACTAGAGCAAAAAATAGCTCGGCTCCATATTTTGACGTAACAGACAAAGAAGACGTATGTGGATGGTGACTGACGCACGCCGTACTTGAGCGGAGAGCTGATGGAGTATGTGGAATGTGGGGGTTACTCCTCACGAATGTAACCCTATCAACACTAATCAACACTTTGTGCAAAAAATTAGCAGGTTCTGCATTAGCCTATAGAAATTTAGAGTTTAAAACCATTCACTCAGGTAAGGACATAAAGTCAAGGAAAAAATTATTAGACCAGACTTGTTTTTTTTTGTTTTTGTTTTTTTTCCTGTTCATTTTAATGTCTGGTTTAACTAAAGGTACATTTGTTTGGACAAAAACAGCAATAACTGCAGAAATAGTTTGAATTAAAAGCTGCTTTTCTCATTAATAAAAAGGATAACTAGGGTTGTTTTCTCTTCTGCCAAAAACAGAGCCTTTGGGAATGTCATGTTTTTTCTTCTGTCACAAAAAGAAAATTGGACTTTATTGCTTAACCATTGTTTTCTGCAAGTTTCTGAGGAAAATATTTTCTTTTCTTAGATATTTTCTTTTAATAAACTTAAAAAAGAGAATGCATCTCAAACTCAATGAACTGCTTCAACTGGAAACAAGTCTTTGGATTAAGTTCGCCAAACATGATTTATTTAAGTTTTCTTCAACCTATAGACTTTGTTTAAAATTAAGTTGGATCAACTTGTTACCAAGTGAAGCAACTTATTTAAGTTTAAGCAGTATTTTTTTTTTAGATCATAAATCCAGAGTGTGAATTTAAATGCAGTTATCCTCCTCCTAATTTCCGGACCTCTGATTTTTATTGGATTTCTATTTAAGTGGTTCAAGTCTGAAGCTGTGGAATTAAGGGGGCCTTCACCTCAGTAGTACATTCCTTGAATGCATGTAGATGTACAGTGGGATGTTTAAAGGCATAAAAAAAATATAAAATAGGTTCAATGTAATTAATCAAACCGTTCTGCTCTTCCTTTTATTCCATTACCAAGTTATGAGACAGCTTGGTAGTTTGCGTTACATTTTTTTTATTAAATAAAAGCAAGAAGTAGTATCTGAACAGTACAGTTGAAGGCAAATGTATGAACAGAATGTTGTACCATAAATTATTTCAAACCTTTACACTTTTCTGTGCTTTTGATTCTCTCTCACAGTCGATACATTACATATAGTATGAGTAGGCAGTGAAATGCTAAATACAAACTTCCTTCCTGCTCTGGTCAGCCTTAAAAATCAGCTTCCTCTCTTAGCAAACATGTTAAAGAGGCTTCAACTTTTCTCACATCTACAGATCATACTTTCATAATTGTTTGTCCTGAGCTTAACTTAACCTCTGAAAATAAAATAAATATATATCACTAAGCTCAACAGTGCTGGGGTTCCATTGGGTTTTTTCCCAATGACTATTGACTCCTCTTTTTAATGCTTTCATGCCATGGAAAATGATTACAGCACCTCTCTCATAAAAGTGCTGATCTGCAGCCTACATCCATAAATGCTGCATTTAGATTGATTTGTTTGTTTTTAAGTTAATGAATAGGTTTTGTTGGACAGGAAAGGTATTTTACAAAACTAAATAATCTATATATGAGGTCTAAAATAGATAAAACTAATACCTGTTTTAGTAACATTTATAAAAACAGCATGTCAAAAGATTTTCATACCCTTCTGCTCATTTTTTATATTTCTGCTTCTGTCTCCTTGAAGCCGAGTCAGCCACGGCAGATGGCCGCTCACACTGAGCCTGGTTCTGCGGGAGGTTACTTCCTGTTTAAAGGGAGTTTTTCCTCTCCACTGTCGCTACAAGCATGCTTGGTGTGAGGGATTACCTTCAAGTCAATGAGTTGATACAATTTGCTGGTGTTAGATAGAACATTTTGAATCAATTTGACTGGATGATTTGGTTGAATTGTCTCTGTAAAGTGCCTTGAGATGATGTTTTGTGAATAGGCGCTATATATATGGCCCCTGCAGGCAACACACAGCACTGCTCTGTCTGTAATGAACCACTCTGTGTTGTGGTTTTGGTATTAGACGAGGAAACTTTCACCCTCTGGATGAAAAACTAAAAAAACACATTTATTAAGGGAAAAGTCCAGTCATATTCAGATTTCAAATATCTAAAAGTACTTTAACTATGAAATTAATACACACTGTTCAATAAATTATGTGTTTCAATTAGGAGTAATTTTCATTTGAATGTGCTTTACTGGAGGCATCCATGTTTGTCAAAGAACTCTACTGCCACCTACAGGTTTGTGACGTCACGGTGCGGTATCGGCTGTTGATCAAGTCCCAGTGCTGTATCTGGTGTTTGTCACAGCACGCTATTATCCAAGTCATCTTGAAAACGTTCTTTTTTCTAAATGTTGGCTACATATTACGTATTTTTTCTCAGGTCAGAAGTTCGATGGCAAATCCTCCCTCTTTAAGTTGGCAATCCAACGACGAACCCGTCCGTGGAGGAACATGAATCAGAAAAGTGAAATAACTCATTTTTTTCACTTTCATCTGATGTATTCCAACATCCAACTGCCATGCAAGTGGGCATTGTCAGTTTAACTATAGCTCTGGTGAATTCCGATGGTGAAGACCTCTGGAAATATTCAAAAATTGTTGTTGATTGCAGATGTGTCCAGTAGTTCCCAATGATTTTGCTTGTAAAGCGTGAAGAATGGCGGTAGGCTTACCACACTGTGACGTCACTGCCGAAAGATGTATATATTTGGGCAAAAGTGGCTGTTCCTAGACTCAAGGATTGAGATCGGGTGGACCATCTAAATAAGTGGTCCTCCTAATTGTCAATCATTCTGGTGATATGTTTACGTGAGGCCTTTCTACGTGCTCGTCCCCATTTTCACTTACCGACTGACATAGTGGAAAAATTCAAAATCTTCTTTTGGAAAAGTAGGCTTGTATGAGCAATGCAAGCAGCAACATTTAAACAGAGCATGCATGAGGAGAAATGGGCTTGTTCATCCTCTCACATATGTTTAACAGGCGTTCACTCTCAGGAGTGGGTACAAGGTTTTGCATAGTAAATAGGGTGGGTATTTTCAAGAATTCGCAAAAATCCTCCACTACACCTTTAAAACTGTGGAAACCTCATTGTTTTCCAGTGATTAAGAAAGGGCTTTTTTATGCTGTTTTGAATAAAATGTTACTAAAAACTGAATCTCACTCAATTAATTTTGGGGGTTTTATGCTGTCTGTTATATCTTATAAGGAAAAAAATTCTTCATGGATGAATAATATATTATTTTGAATCTAAATCTGCCAGATCTGAATATAATTAGCGTTAGGGGGAAAAAATGGGCAGTGTAACAGATTATTAATATGCAAAGTAAAGCTTTGTGGGGGAAAAAAAAATAGTTCTGTCCTGCTATGAGATAGCCCTAATCAGCTGTAATAGAAAAAAAACAAAACAACAAATTAGCTTGTATTGTTTTACTGAATTTTGCGTCATATCACTTTCATATGCGACGCATTCATTGGTTTGGATTTTGTGATTTATTTTCACCTAATTGTAATTTTTTTAAATTTACTCTCTTAGCAAAATCGAAGATATGATGTGCCTTTCCTGAGCTGGTGCTTTAAATACTCTGATCGACTTAGTGTGCTTCATAGTATTGGGAGGAATTTTTTACATGGTCAAATTTCCTCTTATTCTACTATTAAAGGCTACAGGAATTTTAGGAGGATCAATAAATGAGAAAAAAATATCTAAACCTATTAAAAATTCTCATTTGGTTGCCTGAGGCCTAAAAATATGTTCCTAAAAATCATCTCTCACAGCAGAACGTTGCATTTTTTCCGGCATGTCTCCAGTCCTTTAATTACCCCAAACTCAACAAGCAACAAAGGGTTAAACAGCCTCACACTGGATCCTTCTTCAGATTCAAGAAAAGATCCGACACTTTCTAAACCTTTTCCACAATCGCACAAGTTTTTCTAGTCTTCACATCCCAACTGATGCTCTCTGTCAAATACTCATCTTTTTTTGTCCCTCCCCCCCACACACACACACCCACACACACACTCAGAGCAGGGCTACAGCAACATCTTCTTGCTATTGTACAGACGCAACTCTCATCAAAGTGCTTAAAGTATTTTTTTTTCTTTTTTTTTTGTTATCCACTTCAGTTACTAGACTGGGGTGAAAACAGCAAGAGGGAGGCGAAGGAAAACCATGAATTCACAGTCGATGTTTAATTTAGCATTCCTGATGATTGCCTGAATGAAACATCGGAGAACCTGCTGTCCTCCAAATCGAACCACTTCTTCCAAACAAGTAAATAAAACATGTTTATTGCTCAGGTTTTTGTTCTTGTTTTTTCTCTGCTTCTAGAAAATATATACGAATATATCTATACTCCTGGATTACATCTCTGAACTTCTCTTACAGTGCTAACAAGGAAAACATCACACTATAAACAGGAAAATACGCACACGACACACAAGAGAAAAAAAGCCCTGCCTTCGTTGGGTAACTGGCTGTCCCGCAGCAGAGCTCTACCCACCCCCGCTCGCACACAGACACACACACCCGCCCACATAAGTTCAATCACATCTGCCATGCGCTCCACTTTACATTTGCCCACATGCATAAATAATTGCATGTGGGCACAAAGCCCAAAGAGAGTGGGGGAGGGGCAACAAGTATGGTTCAATGCCAACTACATCTTTCCATCAGGGTTAACAAGAGCGACCCTCTGGTTGGTTAGCTCCCCGTACTGGTGCCAAGCAGTTTAATATCCTTGTCGGCACAGTGTACCGAAACAGAGACAACCTTTCTTTAACTTTTTAGTCCAAGTCCCCCAACTCTCTTCCTCTGGTCGTCTTCAGCCATGTCCTTCAGGCATCTTTCATCTGGGATCAGTCACCTAAATTAGTTGAGAGCCAGGACTGGGAGAGGGAAAATGTCTGCAAACAGAACGGATCCCAGTGGTCTTTCTTCTTTGCCTCGGTTTATTTAAAAATCTGTTTTCTTATGGATATCTCTATCCCCGGTGTAGGAAGTATAGAAGACAAACATGCGTCCAACACACACTAGTTATAGCGGCCAGCTAGTTGGCAGTCAACATGAAGTACTTCACTTGCAATTGTCAGCATCAGCTTAGATTATGTATGTTATCATTATATTAGAATGTTTAGTCTAAAGGCTTTGAACATTTTCTGCAGGGTTTTTTGTTTGCTTTATTCATCCTGTTACTTTATAGCTTGTCCAACATGGTTATGTTTTTATGTATACACTAGGTTGTTGGGCACTACTACACAACATTTGACCTTCTTTTAGCTGACAATTATCCTCATGCATTCAGGTTTTTCCACTGATCACAATATACGGGGAGCCGAACGGTCATTAGAGACCGTTTTGCGAAGGCGTACTCCTCTCCTGATTGTGGTCAACATGTCGCCAGACCCCTCGGCCCCAGCTGTCCCAGTCTTACTTTCACTCAGGCCACCTTGTGTAGTAGTTGGGTCATCTGGGAGAGCTGGGAAAGGAAACTGACCCTCACCAAGGGCATTTGCACTTGCTACCAATTCGCCAATCTTCTCAACTAGACTGTGCCGGTTTGCTGCGATCATCTGATCCTCTTCTGATCCAACTCCTGAGCCTGACGCCATGCCAAGGCTTCCGTGTTGCCGCGCATAGACCTCAAGCGCCGCCCCTGATCCCCAGGCAGTGTTGGGAAGGCTAAGGCGCTTTGGTGATGCCTTCACATAATCAAGCCCTCCTTGCCCATCTTCAGCTCCAGTGAAGAACACGCACTCTTCACTTCCAACTCGAACAGGCACAGCTCCTTGTGGCCCTCCTACCGCATAGCTGACTGTGCCAGGTGAATGTGAGTCTGTGGGCACGGTGGGTGTTTTAACAGGCACTATTGGTGGTCGGATAGGAATGGGCCCTGCACTAGACAATGTGCGCCTCACTCCTGGTTTGGTTGATGGGGTTCGACGGATAGTTGCAGTGCCCGGAGTCCCTGATCCTCCTCCACCACCAGCTCCACCCTGTTGTCCTGCTATCCCATGAGCTCCTGGACCAAGGACCCCAATGGGTAAGCCAGCTGTACTGGCTGGCCTTTTGGTCTGGATCATGCGCCTGTAGTTCTGAGCGATGTTTGAATGCCGAGGTATAGTGGAGGACTTGTCAAACTCTGCATGTCCATCTGGGCCTTCGTTGTCACCGTTGACAGAGTAGGAGTCGTAATCTGAACCTGTTGTATGTACAGGTGAAACAAAAACAGCGAAAATTAGTGAATTTATTAGCCACAATGTCTTAGAACATAATTCCCTCTAAATCTTGACTTCTATGTTATCACTTTTTTATGTGATAGAACACAAACTAATGCATTATTTTTAATAGGAAGTAGAATGATACCGAGTTTTTATGCTTTTACAAATACCAATTGGAGAAATTTGTCCATGTGTCCTAAGCCCCTTCGGGTCAGTACTAGAATCAGCTCATACTGTATTTACAGCGATAAGTCTTTGTGTCGCTCACACAGAGCACAAATTTCTAGATGGGTCACCTGGCATTGGTCATTTAACATTTCTGCTCCCTTTTGCAAACATAGTGGTGCCATACATCCAATGTTCTTCGATGTAATGGACCTCAGAATCTCGCCACTGTATCTCTGTGCTTTCAAATTTCCATCAATAAAATGCACCCATTTTCTTCATCCATTGTATATGCCAGCCCATACCATAACCCCACCAACACCACAGGCAACTTGATCCACAACATTGACATAAGAAAACTGCTAACCCATAATACACCACACAATGTCATCTGCCCTGAATAGTGTAAACCGGGATTCATCCTTAAAGAGAACACCTCTCCTATGCATGCCAGCAAATAACAGCATTTACCAACTCAAGTCGGTTATGGCTACGAGGATAAACTGAAGTGAGATCAAGACCCCGGTGAGGGCGACAAGCATGCAGATGAGTTTCCCTGAGACAGTTTCTGACAATTTTTGGCAGAAATTCTTTGATAATGTAAACCAATTGTTTCAGCAGCTGTCCAAGTGGCTGTTCTAAGATGATCTTGAAGGTGAACATGCTGGATGTGAAAGTCCTGGACTGGTGTGATCACACTTGGTCTGCGAATATGATGCGATGTGTTTTATTTTATAACCAGGTCCGTCTTCCTGTCAGACCCATAAAATTGCTGCTAAATAGTCAGAGTAAAAAAGGCCTAGGGTCTTTCTCAGTCGGACCCTCGCAAGCCCCTTGCATAATATTATGTCAGGTGTGATCATGCCAATTGACTTTCAATGAGTGCTAAATGCCACAACCTCATCCGACACGATTTTTTGTCAAATTGGACGCAAAATCAAATTTAGTGTGTTCTCTGTCTCCCCTTGTTAGGGACACTGTGGGTACAGATGCTGACAGCTTTTCACTTTAGTATTTCACCAAACAACCAAGCGACTCTTTCAATGAGGGAACAAAATAAAAAAAAACACAACCTTCTTCTAAAGATTCCAAGCATAGCAGAGAGACCATGAAGTGCTCCAACTTCTCCCGATCTCATCTGACCTGTTTTAGCTGCTTTGAAAGCCGCTCAGGAAACTTAAATAATCCAACGCCATCCTTATGGGGGTTGAAGTAAAATACTGCGACACAACGCAGAGGCATATCTGTATCTCAGTCCATGAAAACCTCAGTAACTCTCCATAACCTATCCATTGTTCCAGCTCTCAGTCATTCTCCTGCATTCGTCACTCCCAGTTTCTCCCTCTGTCATTAAGTGGCACCAGAGTCCTCTGAATGGCAGAGGTTTTTTTAATTAAAACAATTTTATGCGGGTGCCTTTAAAATTATTAATTTTATCATCTTTTATTATCTTTTACATTTTACAAAAAAATACTACAAAATGTTAATATTGTGTCATTTACACAGGAAGGTGGACTAAAACCCTAATCTCTAGTTCTTACTGGCCTTGAACAGGTTTTCTTCCAGTGTTGGTTTGTATCCAACATAGAGAAGCATTCATAGAGCATTACACCTCCCCCACCACAAGGCATAGCTTTAAGCTTGATGTATTTATACTGGGATTGACTTAAACACAGGTGGAATCCTCCCTTCAGGTGGCAGTTAATTTTACAATATTGTATTGAGGGGTATCAGTGTAAAATCAGCATATTACTATACATGCAAGTCACAATTTTCAAAGTTTTATTCAGGTAAGCTAAGAAGTTTTCTTTTGAAACATAAGAAAATGTAAAATACTCTCCAGGGAATTAATGCCTTTAAGATGTATGGTATTCAAACTTCATAACTAAACTAAAATATGTTAGGGGAGGGTTGGTCTAGTGGTTAGAGTGGTGTACTTGTGCTCTGAGAAGGTTCCAAGTACTCCATTCGATCCCCACAGCCTGCACTATGAGTTCCTGAGCAAAACCCTTAATCCCCACACACCTCACCAGCGCCACACAATGGCAGCCCACTGCTCCACACGGGGATGGGTTAAATCAGTGGTTCCCAAAGTGTGGGGCGCGCCCCCTATAGGGGGCGCAATGCCATTGCAGGGGGGGGCGCGGGAAGCGGTATGGATGAATGAAGAAAGAAAAAAAAAAAAAACAGCGCTTGCTTGACTGAGCATAATGGACAGTTGTGACACTGCAACCCAGATTTGAGAAGATCTACAGCAAAAAGCAGCCTCACTACAGTCACTGAAAAGATGGGAGGATTAAAGTACAAAGAAAAAACTCTCAGGGAGCTGTTAAATGTTTTCACTCCATTTTGCACAGAGGCTTTTTTAATGTATTGATGATAGCAAAGTTAAATATTGTTACAAATAAAAAAAAAGAAATATGTTTAAAATAACACAGACAACAAAGAATCCTCTTCTAATCTACATTATAGAACAATGAAAAAATACAGTTACACAAAAGTGTTCCACTGTAAAGATGGTGTAGTTTGTTTTGTTGCAACCAGAAGTGTGAGATAAACTTCAGTGGAGTTTGAAAACAAAATATGTGTATAGATTTATTATATCTGGTTGAACGATGTGTGTGCCCAGTTGATTCTTTTTCTTTTTTTTTTTTGGGGGGGGGGGGGGGGGGGGGGGGGGGTTATTGTAATCCAAAGGGGGGCCCAGGAGAAAATCTTTGGGAACCACTGGGTTAAATGCAGAGAGTGAATTGGCAAAAATACTTGATTCACAAAGAAGGTCATTAAAACAAAGAAGAACAAATGTCTTATATTTTCCCTGTCTATTCCCCAGTATTACTGTTGTTAGTTGCTGTTTAACCATCCTTTAAAACCATGGCTGCCGTCTGGATTATTTAATGACTAATTCAACCTATCTGGTGTTTGTAACAGAGGCAAGTAAAACATACAGCAATAAATCTATTATTTTTCAAAGCCACAGCATTTCTTTAGAAAATTCAGAAAACAGTTTAGCCTCTTCACCTGTTGCTTTTCCAAAGATGCGACCAGAAAAAAGATAAATGTAGTCAGGTGAAAGGTAATTAATGAAGTTTCCCCAGGCAGAAGGAGATTAAATGCTGCAGTAGAGACTGAAAGATTAGAGGCTCACCTTGTGAAGGGATTGTGTCCTCAGAGCAGGATGGGGTTGTCGTCTCTGTGCTGTATCCACTGGAGTACTGCAGGGAGTCTCGGCTGCTTTTCTGCTGCTCCACACTTAGTCCCCTGGTCAGTACCATGGCAAGGTCACTTGCTGCTGGAGAAACCTCCTCACCATGCTGAGGACACAGGAAATCTCGAATGCAGTGTGTGTTTGTTTTTGGTTTTCTAGCCTCTTTTCAAAGATATTTTGGTCCATTTGTTGCCTTTTAACAGCTTGGTCAATGCAAAAATGTCAGAAAAATTGGAATTAAAATCCCAAAACATCTTCAGTAAGCTATGGCATTAATCTTTATCAATGAGGTTCAAAGACACAATTTAAATTATACCTATGCTTTGTTTTAGTATCATCTTTCTAACATGTTTAATTGAATATTTCCACTATTTGGTTCATTGGTGTATGGGGAGTGTTGGCCTAATGGTTAGAGCAGTGTGCTTGTGCTCTAAGCAGGTTGCTAGTACCCGGTTTGATCCTCACAGCATCCACTCTGGGTTCCTGAGAAAGACCTTTAATCACCACACTGCTCCCCAGACGCCGGACCATGGTAGATGCCTGCTCCCCAAGGGGATGGGTTAAATGCTGAGTGAATTTCCCCATTGTGGGACAATAAAGGGATTTAAATTACATAATTCCTTAGCATGCAACTTCTGGTTTTAAAATATATGAATTAGGGATGGAAATTAATAGGATTAATCGTGATTTACCGATTAATTCAGTAATCGGTGAATTGTTAAGTGGAGTATAGCCTGCTTGTAGTGGACAGAACAACCCACTAAAAGCAGTAATTATATAAAAATTATTTTCAAAAATATATACAAACATTTTGCAAAAACATTTTTGTGTGTCAATATGCTCTATCAAGATCTCCTCCGGTGAAAAAAACCTTTTAGTTTTTCCTAGTTTTATTTAATAAAAACCTTCTTGAACCTTTTCCTATTTGATTATTAATTGAAAAAATAATCAACATATTATCTTTTTTCAAAATAGTTGTTATTTGCAGCCCTAATGTGAATTCTTCCAGACTGACCTAAACATAACTTGGAGACGAATGACAAGACATTCTTATCAATAGGACCGATGGTCTGAACCTGTGAGGTAAACTAACCCTCTGTTAGCTTTTTTTATTCATATACTATGTTTGGTTTGACACGGCACATCTGATCCCGTTATTCAACAGAAGGAAGACTGACTGAAGCTACTCTGCAACAGAACCTGAAAGAAAAGACATAATTTGAAGCCAATTTTCCGGTATCAGCACCATGGAGAGAGACCTAGATGGCCCAGTCAGCACTGTTTGAATGTGTTAGTGCTGCGCTGGAGCACACAACCTCTATAGTAGATTTAATTCAATTCAATTTAGTTTATTTATAAAGCGCATATTCATAAAACATGTCATCTCAAGGCAATTTACAATTCAACCAGATCATACAGTCAAATTGATTCAAAGTTTTCTATCTAAGGAAAACCAGTTGATTGCATCGACTCCTTGACTCGAATGCAATCCCTCACGCTAAGCATGCTTGTAGCGACAGTGGAGAGGAAATACTCCCTTTTAACAGGAAGAAACCTCCAGCAGAACCAGGCTCAGTGTGAGCAGCCATCTGCAGAGGCAGAATCGAGTTGAAGTAGATAGAAGCAGTGATACAAAAAGCAGCTATAAAAGTCCAGGAAACACACAGCCAGGACCTGTAATTTACATCCTATATCAAAGAGGTTTCTAGAATTTCTTTTATCTGTGGAATATTGCAAAAATTAGAAATATCCTGTCCAGGGGTTATGCTGAGAATCTAGTCCATGCATTTGTTACTTCAAGGCTGGACTATTGTAATTATTTACTATCAGGAGGTCCATAAACTGTAGTTAAAAGCTTTCAGCTGATCCAAAATGCTGCAGCCAGAGTTCTGATGAAAATTAAAAAGAGAGATCATATCTCCCCTATCCTGGCTTCTCTCCTTTGGCTTCCTGTTAAATCCAGAATAGAATTTTTTAATCCTCCTTCTCACATATAAAGCCTTAAATGGCCAAGCTCCATCTGATATCAGAGATCTGATTGTTCCTTATGTTCCTAACAGAGCACTTCGCTCTCAATCTGCAGGTTTACTAGTGGTTGTTAGAAGTTCTAAAAATAGAATGGGAGGCAGATCTTTTAGTTATCAGGCTCCTCTCCTGTGGAACCAACTACCAGTTTTAGTCTGTGAGACAGACACCCTGTCTACTTTTAAGACTAGGCTTAAAACTTTCCTTTTTGATAAAGCTTATAGTTAGAGTGGCTCAGGTTATCCTGAGCTATCTCTGTAGTTATGCTGCTATATGCTTAGACTTCTGGAGAACATAGGTACCCCCATTTCATTATTCGGGGAGCTCGTGTACCTGGCTGTGTGTTTCCTGGACGGGGCCACCTTTTACAGCTGCTTTTTGTATCTCTGTATGCTTCTGTCTCCTTGAACCCCAGTGGACCTCGGCAAGTGGCCGCTCACACTGAGCCTGGTTCTTCAAGTCAATGAGTTGATGCAATCAACTGGTATTCCTTAGATAGAAAACTTTGAATCAATTTGACTGGATATATACTCTATATAAATAGACTGAATTGAATTGAATGGGTACTGGGGCCCTGTATATAAGGCAGTGGGGGGCATAGTGAGTCCCAAGCCATAAACAGGGCACTAGGGTGGGTAGCTACATTGTAGGGCACAAGCTGCAAGAGATAATCTGGCTGATCTGAATCTATAAAATGACCTGAGATTACTGGTTGATGAATTGAATTGAATTATACTTTAAAAAGAGAAATTTGAAACTAATATTAGACGTGAGTTAATCAGGTTTAAGCATAGTTGGAGATTTATATTTTAGAAGAACCCAAAAGCCCTGCCCTCATCTCTATGGTTACTGAGGGGAGCGCTACATTAATCTATTGTGACCTGAGATGCTCTGGTTGATCAGGATCTATAAAGGGACCTGAGATGATATGGTTGATCTTAATCTACAGTGACCTGATTATTAACTGATTGATCTGGATCTATAAAGTGACAACAGACGATCTGGTTGATCTTAATCTATAGTGACCTGAGATTAACTGATTGATCTGGATCTATAAAGTGAACTGAGGTGATCTGATTGATCTAAATCTATAGTGACCTCAGACAATCTTGTTGATCTGAATCTATAAAGTGACCTGAGATAATCTGGTTGATCTGGCTTTATAAAGTGACCAGATATTATCTGATTGATCTGGATCTATAAAGTGACTTGAGGTTATCTGGTTAATCGTAATCTATAAAGTGCCCTGAGATCAAAGGTGTTGGGTATTGAAGCATGAAAATAAACTGAACAGAATTTTTATTTTCCTAGACTTTATCTTCCAAAAATCAGAAATTAGCTGAAAATTGAATTGAATTCAGGAAGGCCGGATTCCTGAATTCTGGTCGAGGTTTGAGTATCTATTCACACCAAGGCTAATATAATTTAATCCAGATAACATTTCATGTTTAGGTTATAGTTCATGTCATTTTGTCTTGGGACATTTCTAGACTGCATGGGGGAAAAAAGGGATGAAATTATTTTACAATAATTCAGACAGAATTGTGTTAATGTGAAATGACCAAAAACTCTGTTCTGGACTCAATCAAACGTGTCAAGAGGGCTTTGAAAAATGTCTGCATGCAAGAACATGTCATGCATAGGTGATTTAGGCAGTGCAGCCATCTGCCTCACCAAACCTAGCAGCTATTGGAACACATTCAACTTGTGCTGGACAGAAGCCTCCTTCACAAGGATCTGCTTATTCTGTTTAAGTGGTTAGCAGCTGTCAGATTTTTTTGGATGGTCAGCATTATAGCCCACGGACTGTGGCAGGACAGCATAAAATAAAAACATTACTTTATGCCTGAAGCATTTTACCAAGTGTCCATTACTTAAAGGCTCTTGACACAGCAAATCAACTTAGACTAAAGTTTCTGCAAATGTATAAAATTAAAGTAAAAAGATGTAGTTTTAAAAATTCAGTCACACTTTTAACTCTAGATAGCATCACCTGGAACACATAATATGCTCTCATTTTCCTTATTTCGATTAAAAACACTAAACACTGAGTGCATTTTATTTTCCCATTCTGCACAAACATTGACAATGACTCTAATCCTCAGCAGGATTAAGCTGAGTTCATGTGCCGAACAGAACAGGGATTTGCAATATTTTTGATTTTAATAAACTGTCCTGGAAGTTCAAAAATGTTCTTTGTATTTAAACATTGATTGAATTACTTACTTTATGCATCAAAGTAATTTTATTAACGGATGGCAACATTTTTAGGTCTCAGCCAAAATGTTGTTCGGTCTCAAAAAAGATCTCTGGTGTCCAAAAAAGTTTTTCTATATTCACAATAAAATTCTAACGGAAGAAGATGTTTGAAAACAGCATAGTGAACAGATATAAATATGATTAGAGATATTAGGCAAGCAGCAACTGCCTGTGATGGAACATGTTGTATGTTTTGAATCTGAATTAACGGACAAACCTTAGCTGCTTGTCTGTGTGACTGTTTGAGGGAAAAGTTTTTTTCAATAAGGCTTATAGGAAAATTCCAGTTATATTCAGAACTCAAACTTCTGAAAGCACTTTCATTAGAGTAATTTCATTTGAGTGTGCTTTACAAGAGACAACCTTGTTTATTAAAGAACACTACAGCCAACCACCGGTTTGTGACGTCACAGTGCGGTATCGGCTTTTGATCAAGTCCCAGTGCTGTATCTGGTGTTTGTCACAACACGCTATTATCCAAGTCATCTTGAAAACATTCTTCTTCCAAATGTTGGCTACATGTTACATGTTTTTTCTCTTGCCAGAGGTTCAATGGCAAATCATCCCTCTTCAAGCGTTAAGCTTACTGCACCGTTGACGTCACTGCCGGAAGATGTCAGGAGTGACGTGTTACTTTATTTGGGCAAGAATTGCCGCTCAGGGGTCGCAACGAAAATTATTGTTTATATATTTTTACTGATTAACGCAAAATTCGTGAAATCACTATAAAACATACTAGTTTTAGGTGTAAATAATGATCCATTGATAATTTCTTGCTGAACAGACATCTCCTTTAAGGCTAAAAGCTTGGTTGCGATTTTTCAACCTATTAAAAGAAAATCTTTGTATTTAGTGGCTATCTGCATATCCTTCAGAATTACCTTTGCAGCGATCGTAGCTGGAGTCATCCGGGGCCTCTGCCCGTCCTCTGGGTGCGACGCTGCAGCGGGTCCCTGGGGGCCTGGCGAACCCTCGCTCTCCCGCGGCCTGTCGACAGGCTCCTTCCTCCTCTGAACCGGTGCAGCAGCCACGGGCTGCTCATACTGAACTGCTTTAGACCAGTCCTGAAGAATTGAGGGGATTCATCAACAGCCTTATTGTAGCATTAGAAAAAGAGATGTCTTCCATCCAGCAGTTTAAACCCCTTTGCCTCAGTTCAGAGAACAAGACTGAGTCTTAGGGAGACTTTGGAAAGGTGTTGGAAATGTTCAGGTCTTACAGACAATATATGATGATTAAACCCTGCATGTTCTTGTTTTTTGGAGTCATCAGTAGGTTGGCTAAATAACAGGGAGGCAGGTGATGCATGCACACACAGCAGCCCATGATGGAAGCTTTAGACAAGCAAAGCAACGTGCTTTTGAATGAAAATCAGATGGAGAGAATGTAAACTGTGGAGAACATATCCAACAAGACCAGAAACAAAAGGTTGGGCTGAAAAAAAAGGGAAGCGCATGGGCAACAAACCTTCCACAGGGGGACCTTTGATGTGGGAGAGGAGGAGCTGGATCCAGGGGGGCGAATATAGGGAGGGGACGCAGGAAGAGGAAGAATGACAGAGAGAGGCCTGGTGGAGCCAGAGTGAGAGTGAGCGGGGCGAAAGGTAGCGAAGGACGAGCCAAACTGCAGGGTGAGAGATACGGTCATGTCATCAGAGCAATGGAAAAGCAGCAGGCATAAGAGAAGATCTGATCCTATACACAGCAAAAAAGGGAGGTCAAATGGACGGGAAAGGCTGAAGGTAGCTGCTGCTCTACACAGCTATTAGAGCAGTGGTTCCCAAAGTGTGGGCGCAATGCCATTGCAGGGGGGGCGCGGTAAGCGGCATGGATGAATGAAGAAAAAAAAAAAAAAAAAAAAAAAAAAGGGCTTGCTTTGACTGAGCATAATGGACAGTTGTGACACTGCAACCCATATTTGAGAAGATCTACAGCAACAAGCAGGCTCACTACAGCCACTGAAAAGATGGGAGGATTAAAGTACAAAGAAAAAAATGTATTGATGATAGCAAAGAAATATGTTTAAAATAACACAGACAACAAAGAATCCTCTTCTAATCTACAGTATAGAACTATGAAAAAAATACAGTTACATAAAAGTGTTCCACTATAAAAGATGGTGTATAGTTTGTTTTGTTGCAACCTGAAGTGTGAAATAAACTTCAGTGGAGTTTGAAAACAAAATATGTGTATAGGTTTATTATATCAGGTTGAACGCTGTGTGTGCCCAGTTGATTTTTTATTTTTTGGGAGGGGGGGGGCGTGGAAATTTTATTGTAATCCAAAGGGGGGCCCAGAAGAAATTCTTTGGGAACCACTGTATTAGAGGAAGCAGCCCAACATGCTCTGGCTCAAAGGATTTAATTTCAGTTTCTGTTTCCAGCTTGCTTTCTGTTCCAGCAGATTTGGAAAATATATTTATTTGTATTTAGACCTCTGAGTCAGTATGCTGTAGTTTTCTTGCTAACAGTTAGTAAAGCCCCTGTTGCACCTTGACTATTTAGACCAGCGTATGCCTGACGTAAGAAAAATCTGGCAAAAACGTTGGCATACGTTGGATAAGTTATGGGTACGTTTTGTAAAAGTTATGAGCATGCTGAAGTACGTTGAAACACGCTGGCACACGTCGACTTACAACAAGTACTGTATATTGAGAAATTCTGAGCATGCTCAAACATTACCAACGTATACCAGCGTATGCCATATGTGGGGCATAAGTTACAGGTAAGTTATCTGATCCTTGACATATGTTAAGTTTAAGTTACTCATAAGTCATGGTGTCTAGCTTATCCAAAACCCATGAGTAACTTATCCTCCAGACTTCATCCCCTTCATAGTTAGAAGGTGAGTGCTATTGATCCCCCCTGCGTTCACACCCACGACCAACAAACCAGCAGACATGATGCTGAATTTGCTGTGACTGCAAACCTTCTTCCTTTCATTTTATTTTTATTTATTCTGTTCTTTCAGGGTGGGTGCATCGCTGCTCCGCTGCTCTCCTCAGGAGCAGCAATGCACCAAAGTGGAGCAGCTTTAACTGATGCAGCATTACGCTGCCGTGCGTAATGCATAAGTTGGCTCTGGACTAGTTATCAATACACTATGCATCCCCCCAAAGTTGAAAAAAACAATACAAAGACTTCAGCGTATGCCAGTGTTTTAGGAGATTCTGGAACGTTGGGCATAAATTGGCAAGGTGAGTCTGAGACTTTACATTGAAGGATTTTAAAATGTAAAGTTCTGCATAAACTGATTTAGGTATGGACTTTGACTAGGCCATAGGGCTTTTAGTTGGTTGTCCTGCTAAAAGTTGAACATTCGTCACAGGCTGTGCGAATGTTCTGTGCTATTTACCTGAGACCGTGCTCCTATTTTATAAAAGGGATGAATATCTGCCTCCACCATGATATTATATCCCATGCAATATGAGTTTTTTGCCAGACAGGGCCTGAGCTACGAACAGAGATAAACTTATTCTGCAAACAAAGAATTGCATTTACTAAGCATTTTGCAGGGGATCTGGAAAAATGGTGCTGATCAGCCTTTATCCACATGCTACTGGCTGTCACCATAGAGATGGCCCCTGTGAAGACAGCCGAACCTCAGAATATGTGTCACCATTCATTCACCTGTCGTCAGTTCACACACAAAAAGCTGTGTATCTAGTTAGTTGATCGGCTTACTGTTCTTCATCTTTGAGTAAAGGCTGAATAGAAATGCACATTTAAGCACTAAAGAGTTTCTTTAATCAAAGACAGACTTTCCAGTTTTTGGATTCTAGTTCCCATTTTCTGTTCACTTCACATTCTGGAAAACTTTGTTGGTCTAACAAGTCACTGTATGAAAACTTAATCTATGGGTCCAGAATGTGAGACAATCCATGTTTAAACCTTTAGATCTGTACATTTCAGACCCTGATGAGTTGAAACACATCTGAGATCACATCTGAGATCTATTCCAGGAATAGGGAGACGAATATCTGTTTTATTATTCTATCAGGCACCACATGCATCCAGAAGAAGACCATCCTCTCTGAAGGTGTCATCATTTAGGAGAACCCAGCCCTATGATGTAAAAAGAGATCCTGAGTTTCAATGATTGTTCTGCCTGTTTGTGCAGGTTTATGTCACTATAACCAGAAGGCAGAGCAAACAATCCTGTTTGTCAGCCAACTTTGAGATCGACGTTAGATGAAAGCTGTCATGGAAACAAACTGCTGTTGTGAAGACGGCTGCCGCTTCAACTCTTGGCAGTTTCCTTCTTTGAACCAGTGAATCATCCCTGTAATTGTGTTTTTCTGCACATATAAGCAGCTGAGAAGAATGGCTTCTAAAAGGAAAGCAGCTGAGCTCCAAACCAGGAAAGAATACTGATTTTAGAGAGATTTCTATGCAGATTTTACCACCAGCTGAAGCAACAGAATTCAACCAATTCATTTGTAGCTGTTAGCACAGAAGGAGGCTTAGTTCCACGTGACTGCAAAACAAGAAGAGCTTTCTTTTTTAAATAAAAGAAAAGAAATTTTACATTAATTTCAACTTGAACTCACATCTGAGCTGCTACTCTACACAAATCTCTGCAGGGGACGCCATTAAGTTGTGGGGAAGTCTGAGTGTCAGGTTGGTAATACCTTTCAGAGCTCAGCCTCCAGCCGATTTCCTATAACAATACAATCCTGGCACCACTGTGAATGAAATGTGCCATTTTAACAGCATGTGCTGCTTAGCTCCAACAGCAGCTTTAATAACAGCCACAATTATCCCAGTTGTTTTAGAGCTGGCAGCCTGCTATTGTTCTTCAGGGAACAGAGATGTGGATGAATGGAGGAGATTTCAGCTGGAGAAAAGGAAAGTAACCAGTTCAAAAGTTTGAAAATGCTTTCTGAACAAAATATTTTCATAGAGAAGAAATTTTATTACAAAAGGAGTGCCCTTTTGTAATAGAATGCTAATTTTCTCAATTTACCAAAACCCTTAGCTTCTTTAAAACCACTCTTATTCATAAAGGCCACTGATGCAAACTTTGGAGGAGCTGCAGAAACCTCAGGTGGGAGAATCTGCCCAAAAGGGAACTTTTAATCCCTTTTACATATTTGACTTCAGATTTAATGGTTTCTGGAAGAATAAAAGGAGAAGTCAGGTCATATTCAGAATTCAAACTTCTAAAAGTACTTTAAATATGAAATTATCATATACTGTTCAATAAATGTTCAGCGTTTTTAATTAAGAGTAAGTTTCATTTGAATGTGCTTTACTGGAGGCATCCATATTTGTCAAAGAACACTACTGCCACCTACACGGTATGGTATCGGCTGTTGATCAAGTCCCAGTGCTGTATCTGGTGTTTGTCACAGAGGACTATTATAAGAGGACTATTATTCAAGTCCTCTTAAAAAACAGCCCTGCGATGGACTGGCAACCTGTCCAGGGTATTTCCCGCCTCTCGCCTGTAGACAGCTGGAGATAGGGCGTTGTCAGTTTAACTATAGCTCTGGTGAATTTCAATGGTGAAGTCCTCTGGAAATCTTCAATTGTTGTTGATTGCAGATGTGTCTAGTAGTTCCAATTGATTTTGCTTGTAGAGCAGGGAGAATTGCGCTAGGCTTACCGCCCCGTGACGTCACCGCGGGAAGATGTCAGGAGGGAGGTGTATATTTGGGCAACAATGGCCGCTCCCAGACTCAGTGATCGCGACGAAGATTATTGTTTTAATTTTTTTATTGATTAACTCTAAATGTATGTTATCACCACAAACATATTAGTTTTAGGTGTAAATATAACCCATTCATTATTCCTTGCTGACCGGACTTTTCCTTTAAAGAATGAGTTTGATTATAGTCTTTGCTTCACTCTCCTCTAATGTGTCGGGTAAAGGAGAAGGCCCAAGTAGGACTGGAATACTTACAGTGGTTGGGGAGCTGCATTCACTGACTGACTGGCATGTTTCTGACGCCTCTGATGATGCAGAGCTGGAGGACATCTAAAGAAGCAAGAAAAACCACTTATAATAAAAAAGCCATTGATTGTCTCCTCCTATAGAGGAGATTTTTATACGCTTGTCATGGAGGTCCCACTGATGTTCCCATCATATTTAAACATTTCATTTGTTATTTTTATTACAAACTAAAATAAAATAAAAAACATGAATAGTTAAATTCCAAATAAGTTTAAAAATAATCCACTGGACATATTTCCAAGTTTGAAGACATTTTGCTTCCCATCCAGGAAGCTTTTTCAATTCAAAATGTTAAAAATTAGCGTAGAGTCCGAGGCTTTATACAGTAGCCCAACAAAGCCCTTTTTTTTGCTTAAAAAAACTTGCAAATTGAAACGGGCTAAAGGGTCCGCCCCTTTAGAATGGGGGTTGTTTGGCTTCCTTTGTTAAGGCTGACTTATACTCAGAACCCAGGTAATCTGCGTGTGTGTCGCAGTGAAGGTAAATGTGCCCCCACCCTTGCCGCAGACACTCTGCTGCACCTCTCCATAATTGCAGGTGGCCGCAAACAGTGCAGGAGGTCTCTGATTGGTCAAATCTACATCCGCTCAACCCATGCGTATCTCCTGTTTGGTTCCTTACCGGTTTGTTTTGTTTGTGTGACCGCTATTGTTGAAAACGACTCGTGAAGTTTGACAATAAGAAGAGCGAGGTGCACGAGAACTCTGGGACCCTTTTTCCATCTGGATAACCCGCTCTTTTTCGCCCTCATGTGCCTCCGTTGTCACACAAATTTGCCCCTACTTTCTCTTCGCCTCTACTGTATCTAGACCCACAGCTAGTTCCTGATTGTCCCCCTTTAGACTGCTGAAGGACCCCTTTTTCATCATTCTGCTTTATTCTATCTCTATTCTCCAACTCGGCAGAATTTTTTTGTTCAATCACTAATGTTCTGCTCTCTCTGCTTTTTTCATTGTAGCTTGATCTGGTCTGTTCCTGTTTGGCTGTGACTCCATCCTGGAGAGAAAGTTTATCCCTTAGTTTCGTACGAAAAATATGGATTTGTATCCCTTTAGTGCATGTATAAGAACGAATTGAATCACTTACTTTCTGATGGTTTTTTTAAGCGTATCTCCCCTTAAATATTTTTTTTTTGTACGTGACTAAAGGGCTACATGCCAGTTGAGGTATTTTATAGTCTATTTTTTATTTAAAACTAAAGGGATAAACGCAAATCTGACATCTTTCGCATGCGTATTGACTATGGGTATGCTGGTCTGATGAGGTATGCTCATCTGAGAGAACACCGGTCTGCAGGTGCACCAGATGAGATGAGAAATGAGGCCAAACTTAAAACGGTTTCAGACTGACAATCAGTTTCATTGGTGAAACCGACTCGCCTACCTGACTGGTGATGTCTGAGGGCATCGGCGACGGAGGCTTGGAATAGATGTTTGCATCCTGGGACACAAAACCTGAATCGTGGGAGGAGACGCTGCTGAGACGGTGCGCCGCAATGCCACCTGGTGGTGGAGGCTGCTGTGGCACACTGCTGCGATAGCGATAGGATGAGGAAGAAGAGGACGGTGAGTGTGGCTGCGAGCCTCCTCCACCGCTACCCACTCCTACGCCTCCACCTGATGAACGGGAAGCACTGCTGTGGGCGCTGTTGACGCTGCTGCATGGTGAAGAACAATTTTAGAAGGTCAGGTGAAGAAGTGATTAAAGTCATTATAATTAGAGGAACATGTTGCAGGATAGAAGGAGGTTGTAGGAAATTTTTAAACAAAAGAGTTGGTCAAAGTTTGAGAGGATAAAGAATAAGAGGAGGTGTGGAGAGAGACGGTGATCAGGTGAAGGATAGGACATTCAAGAGTAAGAGTGGGTTGGATTAGTTACACAGACAATTAGAAGCAGAAGTTCCCCCAGAAGGGAAGGGGAAGCAGATAAGGATCATCCAGCAGGAGTGAAAGATGGCAAATAACGGAAGAAGAGGAGGATGAGGAGGAGGAGGAGGTGAACAGAGAGTGTGTGAACTCAGGAGGTTTAACAAATTAAGAGACACTGCGAGTGTGAGGGTGGGTGTGGCTGAACACATACATGATAATAACCCTGACAACAACCCTTTACCCTGATAATTAATCTAACTTAAAGTCGTAGGGAAGCCGCTGTTCCAACCGTTGCATTCTGAATTCTCCCGAGTGTTGCCCGGCTTTACATGGTGAATAAAGTGAATATGATCGGTCGTTTATCAAGGGGGCGGGATTGTTGTGGCAGAAGGTTCGCAAGCAAGTTTGGTTGTGGCCAGTGTCTCTGAAGCATATTGCTATCTAGTTAGCAACTTAGTACTATTAGGGAATTTACATTGGGACCAAGTAGCAATTAGCAACGACACTGTCAAGGAACGCTATGGACAGCGGAAACATGCAAGGAGGAGAGTTTTGTGTCCAAGGTCATGGATGAGTCTCCTCCGTAATGCATTTTTTATTTAGAGGAGGAAAGCCGGGACAAAGTTGTTAAGAAAGACGACTCCAGAACGGCAGAAGCTTGGTTTGGTGTGGAAGGCTTACAGCTGTATATGTTTGAGCCCTTGCCTCGCAACGCTGCCAGTTCTGTTAGCTCTACGCATGCTGAAGACACAGATGTCCATCCCCGTGAGCACTGGGACAGAACTCAATGGGAAAGGAAATTATTCTTATTTCTTATTTTAACCGTTGCTTATATTAGCTGCGACAAACAAATAAAGATGATATGACAAAATAAATTAGATTGACAGACGACCGTTGATATATGATTGCCCGAATTTAGGTGTACAAACTCATGTATAACTAACTGGCCTTCATAAGATAATGAAAAAGAAAAAAAAAAGACAGGATTTTTTTTAAATAGAAATGTTCTAACTTGTGGGACAATATGGTCTGATAAAGAATACATTTTTATACGTACAGGTTTAAGCCAGAGTGGTTTGAAATTTAAATATGACCTCCCTACAACTTTAACTCCAACCTGAACCTAAACTACATTATGTTCACATTTCTAACTAAAGCCCCATTTGAACTATATAGAAATGTAATATTTTATAATTAATTTGTAATTTGTAATTGTTAATATAAGTGTTATAGCTTCAGAAAGATTAAGCGTTGTCCTGTTTGTCCCTACATGACGCCTGTCCCACAGTGACTTGCACCGCTCAGTCAGTAGTAGCAGAGGGCTTACTGTATACTCCTAGCTTAACCTGGCAGTCATTGCGTGGGGCTTGGACACCAGTGTACAAACCGTACACCGTTGGAGTAGCTGGGCGAAAACAATGCCTGGATGTATGGAGCCATTTCGTTTGCAATGCGAAGGACAACACCGGAGGAAGGACGCCACCAAAGAGTCTGCGGCTTCAAAATGGCAGGGGAGAACACAGCAAATCTCAAGGGACATCTGAGGTGCCAACATGCAGCCAAGTGGAAGAAGGTAAGGAACTGGTGGGCCTGTAGTAGCAGGAACTTGTGTGTGTGTGTGTGCACCTTCCTCTGCCTGTATCTGTCTGTCTCTCTGTCATAGGAGAAAGGTGTTCTAAAGATACACTGGATATTATTCTTTTAAATTTCTTCCTCCCAACTAGATACGTGACACAGTGACACCACAGCCAGATCAGAGGTTGGGGAAGGATGTGAAGTCTGAGGATGAAGACTTTGTGGATATGATGAAAAAAGCCACAAAAGGTTTAATATATCTGTGATATATGTTAAAAACAGAATCAGTGTGTGAAGCTCTATTCTGCACAGTGTTATATAAATAAAATAGTGAAAAAGAGAAGCAGTGTGTGGAGAAGTTTTATTCTGTACAGCATATATATATATATATATGTCTATGTTTAAAAGAGAAGCTGTGTGTGAAGCCCTATTATTTACAGCATTGACTAAAATAACAAAAATGACTAACGTGACTAAGACTAAAACTGATTTTCGTCATTTAGACTTAGACTAAGACTAAATTGGGAAGGCAATGACTAAATATGACTAAGACTAAATTGGATTTTTGTTATTGTGACTAAGACTAAATTAAAAACAGCTGATGAAATTAACACTGGTAGGGTAGCCTGAAATTTCATGGTTACAGAGGACGACTGTAAGGAGTCTGCTCATGCGCTCTTTGTTATCTGAGAACCGAGCCAGAACTGAACCATGCCAAGCCCTACTTATGAACTAGTACCAGTTTAGCACGGTTCGGTTGTGTCTGGCATGGTCCGGTTCAGTTATGTGTGCCATTTACACTCGGCACAGTTTCAAAAGGGTAGTATAAATAGGGCTTATGTTACAAACTTTAGGCTAACTGCCTCCAGCTCCCAGTTAGCTGTCAAAAACAAACCAAACAAAGTCCACAGAAATCGGTTGAGGGGTGACACACTGACTTTTTCAAGACACTGCATATTTTTACACTTCAGTTAAGTTCAGGGTCCTTGCTGGAGCAATCCAGATATGAAGCAATGCTAACAAACTGGGGATGATTTGAGGAACATTGGAGAAGGACAGACATCCACATCTGTACTCTCCGCTTTACAAGAACTACACAACCTTGGTTTATAGACAACAAAATGCTGGAGTATGTTTGTGTGTGTCTGTACCTGCACATGCTGCTCTTGCGTGAACCAGAGCTGCTTGGAGACGATGGAGGGGTCTGATAGGACCAGGTGTAATCCGACCCCTTCAGATCCACAATCACCTGCAGGAAAACCCGGACCAGGGAAGGTTAGAACCGATATTTTCACTCGTTGAACGCAGCTACAACTCAAACTGTACAATGAAACCGCTAGGTTTAAAAGTTCACAGCTGCATGTTCTCCTGGAAGAAGGAGAAGACGAAGAAGAAGGAGAAGAAGAACTCTGTTGTTGTGCATGCGCAGTGCTTGAGGTTCTGTTAAATCGGCTCGTAGCTCTGCTTCAGCAGCAGGATTTGTCCATGACCACATCACAACAGCTGACTGAATTTCAAACATGTTTGATTTTCTCCTGACCCTATGATTCCTGATTGGTAGGTGGTCGTGAGAGGCTCTCGTCCCTTGTTACCCCCTGTATGCTACATGACGCAGGATGCACAATGAGGCTGAAACTTGGCCCGAACGAATAAATTCTCTCACGACTGGAGTGTCAGCCCGAAAAGGGGGAAAAATCGTACAGAGTATGCCCGGCATAACAGATATTCTACATTTTCAATGTGTTCACCTGTTCACTGGCAGGGGGCAGTTTGTGGGGATCCGTCGTCAACACAGTGAGGTCATCAATGATGGCCTGGAGGTGGGTGATCTCCCCCAGCATGGCAATTTCTCCGTTCTGATCAAGTAAAATAAAAACAAACAAAGATGAGCAGTCTGTTTTTCACCCTAACAAACCAAATCGATACATCGATCCATCTCTCCTTCTAAGCGCTTCTCTTAGCGTCTGTCAGTGGGAGCTTTACAGGATCGCCCCAAATGAGTCACTGTGAGATCAACATCATAAGCCATTAAAGGAGAAGTCTGGTCATATTCAGAATTCAAACTTCTGAAAGTACTTTAAATATGAAATTATCACATACTGTTCAATAAATGATAAGTGTTTTAAATAAGAGTAATTTTCATTTGAATGTGCTTTGCTGGAGACATCCATGTTTGTCAAAGAACACTACTGCCACTACTGTGACGTCCCAGTGCTGTATCTGGTCTGTGTCCCAACGGGCTAAAATCCAAGTCACCTTGAAAACATTCTTCTTCCAAATGTTGGCTACATATTACATGTTTTTTCTCTGGCCAGAAGTTCGATGGCCAGTCCTCCCTCTTCAAGTTGGCAATCCAACGATCAACCTGTCTGTGGAAGATCATGAATCGGAAAGGTGGAATAACTTTTTTTTTTCACTTCTACCCAACGTACGCAAGTGGGCATTCTCAGTTTAACTATAGCTTTGGTGAATTTCAGTGGTGAAGTCCTCTGGAAATCTTCAATAATTTTTGTTGATTGCAGATGTGTCTAGTAGTTACCATTGATTTTGCTTGTAAAGCGGGGAGAATGGCGCTAGGCTTACCGCACCGTGACGTCACTGCCGGAAGATGTCAGGAGTGAGGTGTTACTATATATGGCCAAAAATGACAGCTCCCAGACTCAGTGTTCGTAATGAAAATTTTACTGATTAATGCTAAATTTATTAAATTCTTAATTCATGAAATCACTGCAAACATATTAGTTTAAGGTATAAATAAGGATCCATTGATCTTTCCTTGCTGACTGGACTTTTCCTTTAAACACCAAACTAAAGGCTTCAGGTATTCCACACAGAGATAAATTAATCTGTTTAGCTGGACTTTCCAAGAGCTTCATTTTTTTTATTTGGTGAGATTATAACCCGAAACAGACAAAGTCAGGATAAAATTACAACATCACAGAATTTAGGGAACAGTGGATTTCCTCTCTGCTTTTCACAGATTATGTGGTCTTGCTGGTTCCCTCTTTCAGAGACCTGCAGGATGGACTGGGACGAATCACAGCTGAGGGTGAAGCAACTACTCATAGGCCATGGTTCTGGTTCTTGAGCGGAAAAAGGAGGCATTTTTCCCTTCAGGTTGGAGTAGAGTTTCTGCCTCCAGTGAAGAAGTTCCAGTATCCTGGACTTCTGTTCATCATTGAAGGGAAAATAGAGGTGGATCCACAGCCGGAACGGTGCGGCTGCTGCTATAATGCAGATTTTGCAGCGTCTGCCGTGGTTCAGAGAGAGCTGGGCGAAAAAGCAAAGCTCTGATTTAACGGTCGGGTTCGTTCCTACCCTATGATCATTAATCTGGATCATGACCCAAATAACCGGATCCTTGATCCAAGCAGCTGAAATGAGCTTCCTCTGCAGGGTGGCTGGGCTCTCCCTTAGAGAGAGGGTGGGGGAAACATTTTAAATGTATTAAACACAACTAAATCAGCTAAAATCAGTCTGAGCCAAGCTGTCTACCCACTACTAATACACCCTGATGACCTAGGGACTGTTAGCTGGTTAGTTCACCAGATATCATATTCAGTTCAATCTTAGCTTTATGAGATTGATCCCCAGCCCTGGTTAATAGATGGCAATGTGTAGATGGCTTTTAAAATTTTGAACATCAGTGTAAAAATCCATCTTATTTTCACCAAATGAAGTCAAATGTACAAAAAGAGGAAAGTTTCTCTAACCGCAGCAATCCATTTTGTGTCTACAAGATTTTCTGATTCTTTGTACAAATATTTTTTTCTGTTTGTTTTTTAATTCATTTATAATAATTTATGTTTTAATAAAGAAAAACATAATCCTTAAAATGAAGCCAAATCATACTAACCAGATGGTTCATGCTGATCTTATTGGCATCTTTGCAGAGAAATAAATGTGTCTGTTGTTAAAGGCAGCAGCAGAGACATTGAGGGAAAACTGGTTCTTGTCTTAAACCCTTTGAACAGAAAGAGGGCAGTATACACTAGATAGAGAGGGCTGGACATGTGCTAGGCGTCCTAGAGGTATGCAGGAAGATGCAGTTTCTACATCTTATTACAGGTTCGCTGGTCAGACATCTGACAACATAAGCATGCAACTTCAGCTCACATTTCCTCACTGCATTTGCTATGATTTTTGTTAATAGGCTGGAGAGTTTCTTCTCCATTTTCCTTCTCACATTATTACATATGCAGTCATCCAGGTAAAGCAATTCCAAAAAGGTAAAAAATTAAATAAACAATCTACTGGATTGTTTTCTTCAAACTTGGAAACAAAGTCCAGTGGATTGTTAACTTTTTTGGAATTAGTATGTATGCTGCTTTTATTTTGTCTTTACTCTAATCGTGGTCTAAGAAGAAAATCAGGCCTGAAATGAAGGAATGGATAATTATCTCCTCACCACAACAGGCTGAAGGAAGCCAATGAAGGTGCAGAAGCGTCCCCTCTCCTCCACCAGAGCACGGCGCACGGCCTGCTTCTCCGTCTCCTCCATCAGCAGACACATGTCAGTCACATCCTGCATGGCGCTGTCCAGCTGGGGCTGCAGATCTCCTCGCCCTGCATAAGAAACAGAAGAGGGGTCAGTTAGGTTTATGATAATCCTAACTCTGTAGCTCTGACTCTTCTTCACAGTACGCTTTATTGTGAATGGAAAGCATCTCTCAACAGCAACTTTAAAGAGTTAACCAAAAGTTCAGTCAGATGCAGGTTTTTACTTTGACTAGGCCATTTCAAACATTTCCATTATGTCTCTGGCTGTATGATTGGAGCTATTGTAATTGTGAAGATAATTTCCTGTATCTAGCTTCCTCTCCCTCCTGTGAAGCCCCTGTAACACCTTGAGGATTTAGAGCAGCGTATGCCTGATGTATGAAAAATCTAGCAAAAATGCTGGCATACATTGGATAAGTTATCGGTATGTTTTGAATAAGGTATGAGCATGCTGAAGTACGCTGAAACAAGCTGGCACACGTCGACATACGGCAAGTACGTCGAGAAGTTTTTAGCTTGCTGAAAATTTCCCCACATATGCCAGCGTATGCCAAACGTGGGCCATAACTATAGGTCAGTTATCTGATCGTTGACATATTTTAAGTGTAAGTTACTCATAAGTCGTGGCGTCCAGCTTATCCAAAACCTCTGAGTAACTTGTGCGTAACTTATCAAGAACTTATCTCCAACACATATCAACATATCTGACGTGTTCCAGACGAGCGCTGAACGTGTTCCTAACTTACAGCTACACTATAATGGCGTATTGGCAGCGTTTTGGTATAAAAAGGGGGTTCACAGGAGGAAACCATCAGTTCTCCGCCCGACTTCATCCCAATCATAGGGTGAGAGAGAAGGTAAGTGTGATGGAGCCTCCCTTCGTTCATTCCCACAACCAACAAACTTCCTAGCAGACATGATGCTGAATATGCTGTGAATGCATACCTTCTTTCTTTATTTCTTTTTACTTATACTTTTTTTGCAGGGCAACTTTTTGAAACGGCAATTAGTGTAGCCAACAGTGTGCTTTCTGCACTGCATCCCACGCGAGGAGCTTCTGGAGCTGATGAATGATCTACAAAAATTTGTGGCTTTTCATTCAAACATCCTCTGTCAACATTCATTTTCCTATCTGTCACTTTGATTTAAGCAGCTTCATATCCAGAAACTGATAAAAGGAACGGCTAAAAGAAAGTTATGTGAAAGGTCGGAAGCTTGGGATACTGTTTTATAGCCCAACCATGCTGAAATTTACCTTGCAAGGCACTGTGTCTACTTCCTTTACAGTAGCAGCCATTCAAATTTCCCCACTTTCATTGATGGGCCCTTGGCTGGTCACCTACAATTCCTTTTTAAAAATAAATATTAAATATTATTTCTGTCATGATTTGTGGAACCATCATCTCCTGGTCAGCAGAGGCGTGCACAGACATTTTGGGGGGCAGGTGCTCAGGAGGGGGGGGGAGGGCACTTTTTAGCGCACGTGTAACACTTAATTATAAAAAATAAATAAACGCATGTTGAATGAAATTTGACTTTTATTTGTAACATTCTCTAAACGTGAGTTTTCAATGGAAAAAAGTCACATCACCAACAGAACAGACTAAAGCATACTTCTTTCATCTGGCTCATCTCCCTGTTTTCCCTCACCCATCTGTTCTCCCTCATCCTGGTCTTTTTCTGTCTCTGTGTCTTCCCTGAACTCTTCCTCATCTCCTGTCCTGGTAGATGTTGATGGTATAGAGCTTCCCTGCTGTGACTGGCTACAATATATTAATAATAACCATCATGACAATAATAATGATAATAATAATAATAATAATAATAATAATAATAATAATAATAATAATAATAATAATAATAATAATAATAATAATAATAATAATAATAATAATAATAGCTTTAACAAATATGCCACATTAGTTTAAATAATGGGCTATTAGGGCAACATGACTGGAAGTCTTGTCACGTGGATATGACTTATGGTAGCCTACAAAATAATAGCTATTTTAATACCTGCTGCACAAACCACTTAAAAATAAAATGTGAACAGCTTTTAAGATTTTTCAATATGATTAACCCTCCTTTCTTGGTATTGTGCTGCAATTACTAAATCAATATACAATTAAGACAATAAAGAGACCAAAATGTGTTAATTTATGTTGCCTAACAAAACCTATACAACAGAAAACGTTTGTCTTAACACATAGATTTGTACAGAAGAGGATTAGGGCCACTGAAAAAAAAAAAGTTAACTGATTTTTAAATTTTATTTCAGTTTAACATGGGAAAAAAGTCAGAATTCTGACTTTTTTATTGTCAGAATTCTGAGATTATAGTCAGAATACTGAGCAAAAAGTCAGAATTCTCAGCAAAAAGTCAGAATTATGAGAAAAAAAGTTAGAATTATGAGATTAAAGTCAGCATTCTGACTTTTTTCCCATACTAAACTGAAATAAAATTAAAAAATCTGTTAACTTATTTTTTTTTTCAGTGGCCCTAATCCTCTTCCGTATTTGCAATTGCAAACTCTACCAAAATTATTTGTAGCCTATGTGGTCGTCCTCACGTTATCTGTCATTGATTTGGGCCACAGTGTAAAACTTTCAGAATCAGAATCAGGTTTATTGCCATTGTTAGTGAAGGAGTTCACAAACTAGGAATTTTTTATGGTACAATCGTGCAACATGAAACATATAATATGGAATAGGTAAATAAAATGATAAAAATATCTAAAAACTGTGGGTATACATCATGCAATAAAATAGACTAATGTATACACTTAAGATAAAAAATATGGATACAAAATATAAAAAGTAAAATAGCATCTTACAAGGAGACAACTAGTTTATCTGGTGACCAGTCGGCAAAATGCATGTTTGGTGCTGCTGAATGAGACATTTTAATAAACAACAAAATGATTCTGCTTGATCTGTATATTACCTGGCTAATGGGGCACGGAAGAAGCAGCCTGTCAGCGACCGTTCCTGCTATCTGAAAACTGCTATGATGCTGCGCATCTGGCATGCCCTGCGGGCGACCGAGCGAGTTCACGTGACAAAGGAAGAGAGAGAGGCTGGTCGTTTGTGCGCAAGTAGGTCTGTCATTTCGGGGCATTGTTTCAGTCGTTTTTAATGGCTCAGGTTTTCAAAAGATCATTTCAAAACCGACCTCAGTAAAATCTTAATAATATTAATAATAATAAAAAAAAAAACGAGTTTCAAAAGGGCATTTTCTTTAATAGAGGGCAAACTTCCTAGTGCTTTAGCACCACCTAGTGTCTATGTGTGCACGCCCCTGCTGGTCAGACCCTGTAATTCAGGGAAAGGGTGGAGTCAGAGTAAAAAACAAATGCAAGAGAGGGTCACTCCAGTGGCTGGAAGTTGGTGAGGATTTCTGTGGGATGTTGGAAGGAAGTGAGCTGCCATTCAGCTGGCGTTTGACTGGAAAGGGTTGTTTTGAGTGGCTGCTACTGTACGTCTCACCCCAGAAATAGAATATATGCAGAAAGCCAGACTCCAGACTCTTACCCCAACAGCCCTCATCTATTTTGAATACCTAAATGGAAAAGCAAATAACTTGAGAACTATAAGCCCAAATTACATGCGTGATACATTATTTGAAAGCCTACACCTTCTTGTTTCTGAATATATACATGGAAATTGGGTGGGTAAAACACTGAAGCTGCATCAGTTCAGACATGATTCAATTTATTTTTTGTTATTCTCAAAAATAATAGGTCTTTTTTTTAACAGCAGAAATAAAAACATGCTTGCTTGTTGTGGCTGCTTTGTCATGTTTACATTTTGACATGCTGCTATATCTGTGTTCATTGTGCTTTGGTGCTCACTGTGTCCATAAAATGAATTGGTGGTTGAATTGTGGAGAATCTAAGCTTTCCAACGATGTCTAACATGTCTATATTGGTAAACATTTTACCATTGTAATTTTCATGCATTCTGAGTTATTAGTTGTAAACGCTTTAAAACCCTGGTGGGTTTTGAGAGGCTAGAGCCAAAACACTGTGATGCACAGCGCTTGGGATTGAACAGAACATCTGAATGCTTGCTGCTAGCTGGAAAGAGAAAACTCGAGAAGTTCAATGCGAGAGTCAATGAGTCGATGCAATTAGCTGGTTGTCTTTAGATAGGTAGACATACAGACAAGTCGATAACACAGAGCAGTGCAGAGAGACAGGCTGATACTTACCCTGCATCTCTGTTACAGGGAGACAAATGCCGCAGGGACAGAGAGGTGGTGGGAGCAGGAGGGGGGCAGCAAAAATAGAAGCAAAAAAAAGGAAGAAAATGGAGTCAGCATAAACAGTAGAACTTATTGGTCAGGTTAGTACAAAGAAGCCATAACAAGGCAGGGTAGAGCAAAAATAATAGAGCCACAATCAAAGCTGGTCCAGAGCCGAACACACCACCATGCTTCTGGATACGGTTAAATGCAAAGAACTGATTCAGGATCAGGAACACTGAATCTTGGGATGCGTCCTTCAAAGGCTAGAGTCGTAGACCCGATTACGTCATAGAGCATCGCTGAGGTCTGGTCGGATTCCAAGATTCCTCGTTATGTGGCCTACAAATGCATCCTTCTTTTTTCCCAATTTGAGGCACAGGTAAATATCTTGGGGTGTTGTTCGCAAATGAGGAGTAGATGGAGTAGGAGATCGATAGGCGGATTGGTGTGGCGTCTGCTGTGAAGCGGGCATCTGTTGTGGCGAAGAGAAAGCTGAGCCAAAAAGCAAAGCTCTTGATTTATTGGTCGATCTACGTTCCTACTCTCATCTATGGTCATGAGCTTTGGGTAATGATCGAAACAACGAGATCCGGGATACAAGTGGCTGAAATGAATTTTTTACAGCAGTGTGTCTGGGCTCTCCCTTAGAGATAGGGTGAGGAGCTCCGTCATCTCGGGAAGACTCAGAGTAGAGCCGCTGCTCCTCCACCTCGAGAGGAGCAAGTTGAGGTGGCTTGGGCATTTGGTTAGGATGCCTCCTGGATGACTCCCTGGTGAGGTGTTCCAGGCACGTCCCACCGGGAGGAGGTCCAGCAGGCGATTTCTGCCTCCTTTTTTTTTACTTTGTTTTTATTTCATATTCATTTTTGTTCTTTGGTTCTACTTTTTTAGTTTATCTAAGTGGTTCCGGTTCTCGTAATTAAATCCATCTCTGATGTAATACTGAGTGAGAAAAACCATCACTTTCTAGAGGTTTGCTGTATTTTTATATTAACCAGTTTATACATAAAGAGCAAAAGTCATTTGCTATATGTTGTATTCACAGACCGCTTTTCAGTAACCATGGTAACAGAGAAAAGGTCTGTTACCATGTTACGGCTGAGGAAACATTATGAACTAAATGTTGAGTTTGGCCAGTAGATGGCTCTAAATACTAACATATTACTTCCATTAAACTGATGTGGTTCCAAAACCCAAGCTCCATTCAATGATGATGATGATTGAGTTTTATTTGAGAGAAGCTCTGCTATCAGTGGTAGGACAAGTGATAGTGGTGAATAAATGTAGACAGGTTTCTGCTATGCAGAATGAGCGCTGCACAGAAACATGAGCTGCAGGGTCGGTGTGGAGGCGTCACCTTTACGGGCCTTCTTCTGCAGCTTTATGGTGTCTGATGACTTCTTCTTAATCTCATGTCGCGACCTCTTGTACTCTGAAAGAGGAGGAACAGAAATGCTTCAGAGGAACGTGAAGCCTGCGGCTTAAAGTCTTCTTTTATTTCACATGTGAACAAGTGACAGCTGTTTTTGACTTTTCACTGGAACAAAAAAATCGAAATAACTGCAGAAACACTTCATGCAATCTGCTGGGATCCTCCCATAGAAAAACTAAATGTACCCTCATTGTTTAATAGCCAGGATATTTTAAAATGAATGGCATTACCCTTGAGCCAGAGCTCAGTGATGCTGCAGACTTAAGAATGATCTGCTTCACCTGGGAACTATCACTTACCTTTGGCATGATCCTTATCCAGCTGGTTGGCCGTCTTCTTCCAGTCTTCAATCTTATCTTGCAGAGGAGTGATCAGACTCTCCATCAGAGCACTGGAGCAGACAAGAACAAATTTCAAAACTCCACCTTCCATGTGTTTGGTGAGAGGGAAACGTCTCCACATCTTCATGCCTGTTACGTCGCTTGCTGATACCAGGTTCTATTGGACCAACGCTGAATTTATCAGGGAAGTTCATGTATTTGACTTGGTGGACTGAATAGTTTCTAATTCTAGTTTCTAATGGATATCTATGAATAAAAGTCACAAATTATTTTACTTGGATAGCTTTTGCTGAACGATGGATTATCCTCATCATCAAGGTTGCATTTTTTTATGTCTGCTTCTGTCTCCTTGAACCCCAGTCGGCCTCAGCAGATGGCCTGGTCTGGTTCTGCTGGAGGTTCCTTCCTGTTAATAGCAAGTTTTTCCTCTCCACTATTTCTTCAAGGATGCTTAGTCTGAGGGATTGCCTTCGAGTCAATGAGTCGAGGCAATCAACTGGTTTTTCTTAGATAGAAAACTTTGAATCAATTTGACTGGATGATCTGGTGAACTGTAAAGTGCCTTGAGATGACTTGTGTTGTGAATTGGCGCTATAGAAATAAACTGAACTGAATTGAATCATTTGTGTTAAAAACCATAAGAAAAATGCAGAATAATTAGGAAGGAAAATCCTGGTTAGGATCAGAGTCTTGGTGAAACCATCCTTTAGATTAGGTGTGATTGAGAGATTTCATCCAGCAGAGCAGGGCCAGGGTGCAATGAGGCCCAGAGGAAAGCAGATATCCCAGCAGCTCAGATGAAGTGTGTTTGAGCAGTCAGGGGTAGATTTAGGAAATTCGGGGCCCTAGTTAAAAACAGGCATGGGGCCCTCTAAATTGAGAAGACAATACATAAACAGACCCATTATACAGAAAAAAAAACTTTTAATAGAACAGACATAGTTGTTCTAGGTTTGGTTTTGTCCCTCTCTTCTTGTCCCTTTTCTTGTTGTTTTCCTCTCTATGTTTTGTACTCAGCTGACTTTTCATGGTGTCTCAAAAGGAATGAAAGATTTTTTCCAAGCACTAAGCTCACTTAGCTGATTGCTCCTTCCTGTGTTTCCAAAAAGGCAAAAGTAGATAACCCAGTCCTTCTTTTCACTTTAGACAAGCCATGATCTGCTAATCTGTTATCCATTTTCCATTTGGATGAAATAATAGCTGCATGAATCATGACAGCAGACAATTTTTGGAAAACTGGTTGCTAAACAAATCATTAATCATTTAAATTGCAGTTCTTTTCCTTTACACTCAATGCAGTTTGGAATTAGGGTTAATCATTCTACAGAGACGGCAACAAGTTATTTTCTGGGAAAAGTTAAAATCCATTATGGACAAAGGAAGGATAGTGGGAGCAATCTTTTTAGACCTTCGTAAAGCTTTTGATACAGTTAATCATTCAGTTTTACTGTACAAACTCAGTACACCTAATTTTTCCTCCAAATTCATTAGCCTCATTAGTTCATACCTTTCATCTCGTTCACAAAGTGTAAGAATTGACCAATACAATTCTACCCCTTTACTATTATCAACTGGTGTTCCACAGGGATCAATTGTAGGTCCAATTATTTTCAGTCAATATATTAATGATTTAGCATCTGTGTGTAAGAACTGTGACACTTTGGTGTATGCAGACGACACAGCTATCTTGGCTTATGGAAAATCCATAGGAAGTTGCCGCAAAACTAACTGAGGCCATGTCACTGATCTCAACCTGGCTTGAGCAATCCTGTCTGCAACTGAACATAAAACAGTTACCATGTTTTTTTCAAAAAACAACCTCATAAATATAGAACCGGAAATTTTAATATCTGGAGAAAGATTACAGGTCATCACTGAATATAAATATTTAGGTTTACATATAGATTCGCATCTCAATTTCAAAACTCATATCCAAAAAGGTCGTAATAGGATTAAGTTTAGTTTAGCAAACTTCAGATTCATTAGAGTTTTTCTTTCAACTGAAGCTGCTAAATCATATTTTTTTCCATGATTTTATCCCATATAACATATTGTCTAATAAGTTGGTCCAATACTCACTCTACTACAATAAAACCATTAGAAACATTATATAAACAAGCATTTAAAATACTGGATAAAAAACCATACCATTACCACCACTGTAGTATTCTAAGGAAATATCAGTTACTTACCTGGAACAATCTTATCAAGTTCAAAAACATCTGTTTAATTTATAAAATCAGACATGGTTTAGCACCACCTCCACTATGTGACTTTGTACAGTTCAGATCCAGTGAGGTCAGGGCAACCAGAGGGGCAGTGAGGGAAGACTGCATCATCCACCGGAGAAAAACAGCCTTTGGTCAGGCTGTCTTCTCCGTAAGAGCATCTCAGCAATGAAACACAGTGCCAGAAACTATCAGAGACTCTTTGTCATTCCCTTCATTCAAAAAGAATGCAACAAAAATGGCTTGTAGAGAGCCAAATTTGTGGGCACTAAGGTTTTCTGTGTATACTTAAATAATTTTACAATTATTTTTTCATTATTTTACATGAATTGTATTTCTTAACCATAATGTTTTTTATGTAATTGGTATTGTAATTTTATCTTGTGATTTTATACTTTAAGGTTGCCTTTTTTATATCTGGCTGGGGGACTACCGATGAAAATTAGCACTCCTTAGCTAACTCGGGTATATTTACATTGTTTTAATTGAATGTTTGGATGTGCTCTCTTCGTCCTCTGGCATGGGAGCTGCCTTGGAGCTTGTCTGCTTGGCTGTGTGTTTCCTGGATGGGGCCGCCTTTTATAGCTGCTTTTTGTATCCCTGCTTCTGTCTCCTTGAACCCCAGTCGGCCTCGGCAGATGGCCGCTCACACTGAGCCTGGTTCTGCTGGAGGTTTCTTCCTGTTAAAAGGGAGTTTTTCCTCTCCACTGTCGCTACAAGCATGCTTAGTGTGAGGGATTGTATTTGAGTCAATGCAATCAACTGGTTTTCCTTAGATAGAAAGCTTTGTATCAATTTGACTGTATGATCTGGTTGAACTGTAAAGTGCCTTGAGATGACATGTGTTGTGAATTTGGCGCTATATAAATAAACTGAATTGAATTGAATTTAATGTCGATTAATGTACACTGTCCCCTTTCAAATAAACAATAAATGAAAATGAAATTAAGATAGAGGAGAGCGGGAGGCGGGGTTACCAATCTACTTGCTCTGGAGAGCAGAGGTCACTGCTTTTATATGTTGTCGCCAAAGTCTCCAGTAGCAGAAAAAAGTCGCTGGATTTGGCGCTAGGCAATCTTTTGAAATAAAAGTACTAAAGGGTTCTGAAAAGTCGCTATATATAGTGAGAAAATGGCTAAGTTGGCAACATTGCTCTTCACATCCTTTGTTTTCAAATAGTTTCCTGCTGTCTGTTTGGACCTTTTTGAACATTTGCAGCAAATGGACTGATCCAATATGGTGGACACTGAAGGGGGGTCTGAGACACCCTTAATACCATAAGGATTTTAATCAAAAAAATTATTGTGCACAAATAAATAATATATTGTATTAACAATACCTGTAGACAAAGTTTTATGGGGCCTCTAGGAACTTGGGGCCCTAGGAAACTGCCTAGTTTTGCCTAATGGTAAATTCCCCCCCCTGTGGGCAACAACAAACCAGAAATGTGTTCTTACTTGGTGAACTGGCGAAGTTTGGCCTCGATGCTGCGATGCCTCATGCACATCCTGGTTAGAGCTGACCCGATGTCTCTGGTGGCTCCTAAATGGAAGACAGAGAGGATCAGCGTGGGACAGAGAGGAAAATCGACAAATCTATTGTACAAAACACCTGTTTTAATTCCAAAAGTCAGAGGTCAAAGCTTGGATTTAAACTGTTAGCACACTGTGTGAAGAAAAGACTCATTAAACAGGCTGAAAATATTCTTTCCACTCAGCATTTAGTCAGACCAAGCTTCTCCTTGGAGACGTTAAACACCAAACACAGCAGCGTTCCTTGAGGGCCCGGCGGCACCTACAAACCCAGTTTGATGTGAAGCTAACCAGTTACTGTAAACATTGGTCTATTATAGGAAACTAGGTCTATACGAAAGAAGCTGCTTCAGTTAACGGCTGATTTCCAAACAAGGAGCTGAGAGCAGCAGCTGGAGCTGCTCAGGAGGATGGGTCCAGTTCTGTTCTTTTCAAGGCAACAGAATCAAGCTGTAAAGTTCTGATGCAGCAGCTGATGGACTCCTCAGGACTGCCTTTGATAAAACTAGAAGTCGTTTTTATTACAAAACTAATATGAATAAGCATCTATGAATTAAACAGTCTAACAGGAGGCCTACTTTCATCTCGGCTCAGGCCTGCAGGCTGTCTTGAGAGGCTCCGATCCAACACTGAACAGGTCATGATACCCAGAGGGTCGTATCATCCTGGTCTGAGCTCCTGTGGGTCAATCGGTACCATGACAGCAGCAGTAAGGATCCTCCTGGATAGCAGTGCTACATCCAGACGGGTCGCCTCTCTTCCTGTAACACTACTGGATTTTTCATTTATAGTTCAGACCAGCTGATCTAAAATCAGTAACCTCAGAAAAAACGAACCTCAGCGCAACACACACCCAAAGCCCTGTATTTCTCCCTTCTACTTTCAGAATTAACACATTCTTCCTTCTTTGTTCCTTTTCTACCCAGCAACCAGTCCTTCAACTAAACCAGCATCTTCTACATGCCAACGTCTGCCAGGAAGCCTGGTCAGTGGGGGTCAACACCCTGACACCAGGATGGCCAAGAAGAAGGATGAGGTGAAAAGAAAAGGAACAGGAAGAGTCTGAGAAGCTTTAAAGAGTATGAGGACAGAGGAAACGTCTTGCACATTTTAATGAGCTCACTGCTAGGGTGAGAGCCATGGGAGCCCAGTTCCAGCCAACTGTGTGTGTTTGATCTCTGCATTGATGATGCTTCTCTTCCTGTTTGCCTGTTATTACCAGACTGTGCGGAAGATAAACAACCAGATGAGGCACACAATTTCATCTGCTACAGCTGTGTGTGTGTGTGTGTGTGTGTGTGTGTGTGTGTGCAAGGCAGTGCTGTAGGACCAAAGCTAACCCATACCTATTTGATTCACTTGCTTTCATGATAAGTTAGAATTAGTATGAAGGTTATTGCAGCACAGCAGCTCCCTCATGCTCTCCTAATGCTCCTAGGGAAAATAAAGTTTAAAGGGTCCAACAGTGGTTTCTGGCTGGCCTATAGAGGGCGCTTGGCCGCCGCCCCACCCACCAAAAAAACCATGATTAGACATTAAAAAGCTTTATTTATATATATATATATATATATATATATATATATATATATATATATATATATATATATATATATATATATATATATATATATATATATATATAATTTATATATATATATAATATATATTTTAAATATTTTGAAATATATATTTTTTAGATGTGCAAGATAAATATTTTGGGATACGGTAACTTAGTTAGATGTAAATACAATTGAATTCCTTACTGACTTAGACTTAGACTTGACTTTATTAATCCCTTGGGATTACTCCCTTCGGGAAATTGTATTTCCAGTAGCAGGAAAAATTGCACATACAAGAAAATTGAGGATGTTTAGACACAGTATATACAATAGAAAATAGAATCAATTAAATAAGGTGTAGGAAGATGTATTGGGGGATGAGGATAGACAAATAAATACAGAGGGCTATAGCAAAAACAATGACTTAAATTAACAGTTATGTAGTGTATTGCACTTGAATGGTTGAGAAAAAAGTGTGTCCAGATTATAAAAACCACAGCGAGTAACTACAACTCCTTCACTTCTGTTCTCTTAACTCTATTTCCTACTCCCCCCCCAGAGAGGGAGTGATGTCATGTTTTAACACTGTTGTGTTAAAACATGACTATTGCAAAAATCAATATTTTTTGTAATGTTTTTTTTTTTTTTTTTTTTTTACGTAAAGTAGGACAATGACCACAGTGAAATTGGTTAGAAGTTGGATATTGGATATCAAAGCTACACATAGTATGCGGGTTGTAGCTTGTGGTTTATCCAAACAAGTCCCTCATTCGGAGAGCATTTGAGGGCGAATAAAGTTGTGAGGGCTTTAAGATTTGAGATTAATTTGGTATTTAGGGTAAACGAAGGATACGTTTCTGGTATATCTTAACTAATGAGTCAGTTCGTTTATTGTTGATATGATTCGCAGATTGTATGCATTTCTTTATTTTAGTATCTAACGCAAATAAAGGGGGTTTAGTTTTATTGAAGATACTTCTATGAATGTGAAATTTTACAAATAATATAAATAGATTAACCAGTATTTAATCTTTAATTTTTCATCGGATGGGTGACGTATTTCTGTCCTGAGGGAAAACATTTTTACCCATTGACTCTCGTTAAAAGTTGTACATGCGCAGTAGCTCCGCTGCAATACAAACATATAGGACAGATCAGGGTGCACCTAAGTCTTGCAATTTTTTAGTTGCTCTCTGTTGCCCCCATGAGCCGGTCTCATTTCTCTTAGCTCTTATCAGATAATTAGTTCTCCCATTTTTTCTGTCTCCCATACCTGTATGTAAACCAGTTACTCTTTGCTGGTGTCTTGTGCTTACTTTATGTCCAATGTGTGTTCTCCCTTGATGTCTCCTGGTTTTTGGTATTTTGCTCTTGGATTTTGTTTGTTTCCTGTTTTCTAGTGATGGTGAGATGAAGCCACATGAGGCATTGAACCGTTTAGGGTATTTGCTTCAATGACCTCCACAGTTCATGAAGCTTCAGGTGAACATGTCACCATATAATTTTGATTTTTTTTTTTGCAATTGTTTATTTTACCATTTATGTTCCTTTGAATTGTTCATGACTGGTGTGTATAATACAATATCTTCTAGGGTTTTTATGTGTTTGTAAAATGTCTTGAAAAAAATCATTTAAGGTACACGGTTTTCTGCCATTTTAGTGAAATAAGCTCAAGCAGACAGGGAAAGTGGGCAATGATGAGCAAAATGAGTTAGTCATTTTATTCAAACATAATAGTTTTTCCACAGTTTTGGTTTTAATCTGGTTGGAAGTTATGTGTTAAACCAATCTCTTGGCTAAATCAACCAATCTAATTTGGCAGTGTTTTTACCAAATCTATATTTATACTAGAGCAAACCAATACAAATTAGTCACATTAGCCAAAATACTTGTTAGGTATTATCACAACTTCCAAAAATCTAGGGTGGGTCTTGCTCAGTTTTAATCATTACATTTTTTAATCTAACCAAAACAGTTTTAACCAACTAGAGCTTTTTTTTAACCAATATATTCTTAGAATATATCCAAACTCTATCCAACTGACCGCACCTCTCGTACAAACTCCCACATCTTGACTGAAGTGTTTAAATGCCTGTGGAAGTGCGGAGCGAGGTAAACCCCTTTCTGAAGCGGTCACGTGGTAACGCGGGTAGTGAGGCTTCCGACATCATCTATTTTTGCTCCTCCGTCAAATAAAGCAAGCCTCGATACACACGTCACTGAAATCCCCCCCACCTAGTACTCAACAAGCGTCGGCTCATCTCTTAACATCACTACTTTTTTAATTAAATCAGCCAAACTCATCTTAATAAGGTGGGAGTCAGGATGTTTGTTGCTAAGACTGAATTGCTGGGCCTCATAGAAAACTGTCTGTGCTACAGCAGCAGTGAGAGACAGAGAGAGAAAAGTTAAAATAAAACATGTTAACATTTAACCATTAGTTTCCCTCATCCAAATTTTAAAGCAACCAAATCTCTTCTTTTTGTAACTTTGTATCATACACCAGGTCCTTACTCTGAATGAATTTTCAGAGTTCCTATCTGTTTCGGTGTTTTGAATACTGACAGGGAAACGTACTGGGAAATTTTACACACATTCTCATCTCCATACTTTGGATCCTGTGATGACATATGGCACTGAATGTGAAGAAAAAACAGTATTTCATAACAACCCTCCCATAAAAGAAGGTTTCACTTTAGCAGATCATTATCAGATAATGCTGATAACGATCAGCATTATCATTGGAGCAGATTTTAAAGAATCTGTTCCACTTTTCATCTCCTCTGTATCACTGGACAATGCTGCAGTGGGTAACCATTCAATTTATTCCCTTTCACAAATTGACAATTTAGCTTATTGGGTTGTTTTTAATTATTTTATTCAACCAGGAAAAAAATCCTATTTAGATTAAAACCTCTTTTTCCACATTGATATCTTGAGGTAGAGTACATGTCAGACTAAATAATACTACTTCAGGAATAGTATCAAGGCGTATGTCTCGTAGCATGCCTTTCGGTTGTGCTGTTCTTTTTGCATCTCGTTGCAGGTGATTATGAAGCAGACTGAAAATGTTTTGTCATTGTCTCCTTTCGATCTCCTCTTTCTTTCATCTTTGCTCTTTTTTTTCTTTTTCTTCTTCTGTTTTTTCCTGTTCTGTTCTATTTACATTGCAGTGTCCATATAAACTGTAAAACTCCCTGCATAATTATAATAAAGCAATGTATATGCATGAAACAAGTGGAGCAATAGGGCAATTGCCATACTACCGCACTTGTTATAGTAAAATCTGTTGGGCTATTTTTGGCATCTAGACAATTATTCTTATTGCCACATTGCCAGACAGGACACAGTAAAAAAAAAAAAAATAAATAAATAAATAAAAAACTCTTTTTCAAGGGAGTCCTGGCCAAGAGGCAGCAAAGTTACATAATTAACAGAGATACATTAAATT